GTTAGGTTACAATACTAACTCTTGGTGAAAAGACAATGTAACACCCCAGATTTTCAAGACATTTAAAACTTATAATAAAGGTAGAATCTTATTAAATCCCAAGATATAAATACAAGCGTTCGGGGTGCTAAGCCACACCTGAGCTAGAGAACCCAAGTGCACAGGCTAACTAACTAATATCCTCAAAGCGTAAATACGTAAACGTGGCATGCAGGCCAAAAGGGAAACTATCTACTTCTAAGTTCTAGTGCACTCCAGTGACTTAATCTTCTGTGCCTGAAAGCCAAATATATCTGTTCAGCGAGAGATGCTGGTAACCCACTCCAACGCGTTGAAATACAATACATATAGAGATATATATAGATATACGAAAACCATTTTGAGCATGAAGATATATCCTACGAACTCTAGCTTTAAAAACTGGGAATGACTCGACAGATAAGGCCAGACGCAAGCAACAGTTATAACGAGCATATGCAGTTCACAACAAATAAGGCAAAGCATAATCAATGATCATAACCCAACATGAAAAATCCCCAATATAAATCCCATAGTCACATCCCCCAAGACACTCGTAATCACAACTCGTCCATGTCACAGCACATAACACACTTTGTTGGCGCCACAGGACCAATCGCATGCCCATACATGAGGGTCAGCGCACATAGCTCTGACACGGCCCCGCAGCACCCTGCCCCGTATCGCAACACGGAGGGGTCGATCGCAACTGACCGATGAACCGCAGCTCATCATAGTGTTTGATCGCAACCAAACAGTGGACCGCAGCCCAAGAGAATGTCATATGACCGCAGCCAGGAAAAAGGACGAACCGCAGCTCGTATAGAAACGTTTGATCGCAACCAAACGGTGGACCGCAGCCCAAGAGTATCAATCTGACCGCAGCCAGCTTCTGAACCGCAGCTCAGGATAACCAATCCGATCGCAACCGAATTGGGGTAACACACACACATAACACATAGCAAGCACATGCAACCCACATTACACATTGGGAAGGGGGAGAAAGCGTATAACAAAACCTATGCGTGATCCATCACTTACTAAGAATAGTCCTAAGGGGTTCATACTTCTTCCACCTAGGTCAACGGTATACCAATTCAACTAGCATGCAATATAATAGACTCATAAACCTACGAACGGTACCCGAAACATCAAACTAGACATAGGCACGATAAACGGAGTCCGTTGGGACACCACGGGGAACGGGGGAACATCAAACGGGGAAGCCGGGAACCCGGGTGGGATGAATTTCCAGTGGGTAGCTGGTGGGTGGGGGCCACCCGCCGGCTGCCCGCCGGATAATACTGTTCCGGGCAGCGGGTCGCCGGCGGGCAGCTGCCCGCCCGCCGGCCACCCGCTGCCGGGCGGTGTTTCACGGCCGTGGGTAGGTGGCGGGTCCCCTACCCCCCACTGACTCTTTTCACACACTTTACGCCCCGGGAACCGTTGTGGAACACGAAACCATGCTTAGACACTTTACAACGCAATTAATGACAATACGTAGACAATTAACGAATCAAATACAAGAAATGAACGGCACATAACCTATCATGCTTTTCTAAATATAATCAACACCCAAACATGCGATTTCCCCACCCGATAATCCAAGAATAAGATCATACGATACAACCTAGGGTTCTAATCACTTTTATATCAACAAGAATACGGTTCGTCTTCTTATTGCGAGATTCAGTAAGAATAACACATAAACATCAAGAGCATCACATAATTATCAAGAACAACACATAATCATCAAGAACTCCATATAATTACCAAGAACACCATAATTATCAAGAATCTCCCAATATCAAGATTATCAAGATCCCTCATGGGATCATCACATCAAACATCAATAATAGTCATTATATCTCGCCAATACACAATAATATGGGGGAAACCCTAAGGGGGAATTATAACTATGAAAATAGGTTTTGTTGAGACATGGGTTACCTCTTAGCCTTAATTAATTCCTTGGCTATGAAGGGTCTTTCTTTAAGCTTTCTTGCTTTCTTGATTTCTTCTAAGGGGATTCTTGGAGCACTTTGGGGTGGTGGAACGTTTATTGTGGTGGGGGGTTCTAGGTGCCTCTTAAGTCCCCTATTTATATATTTAGGAGTCCTGGTTAGGAACTAATATTATAGGCTTGCTAATTCTATTCCTTTTGGAACTAAGGATTGGGTTTAGGGATAAGGGTCCATGGTCCATAGTGGACCATATTAATTAATTAAAGGGAATCCTAATCGTAGTCTGAATAGTAAAAGGCCTACTTCCTTTATTCCTAATAGATAACTAGGTCTAGGATTCCCAATTAGAATCTGAATAGTAAAGGGTTTACTTTCTTTATTCCTAATAGGCTTAGGACTCTAATTTAGGCAAGGGTCCACGGTTCATGGTGGACCTTTGTTAATTAATTAAAGGAAACCTAACCGAATTAAATCATATTTAATTATTATTAACGGGATTAATTTAATAATTAATCCGGGATTGAAGGCCGTAACACGGGGTGTTACAGACAAGGATACCCTTACTAACCCTTAGAAAGTGTAAGGAACAAGGGAACTCCCCTCAAAGCACAAGGTACAAGCACAACTTTAAGGTTGACTAGTCAAATTCTAGTCCTTGAGTATTAAAAATCAGGATTTTAGGAATTAATTCCTCAAATAAAATAGGATTAATTAATCATTTAATCCATGGATTGAATGTGGATTTTTGGGGTGTCACATCCTCTCCCCCTTCAAAGAAGCTTCGTCCCCGAAGCTTGGGTACGACGAATTAAAAGCAAACGGTGAAAGCAAACGACATTGTGACAAGAAGTTCAAGAACAACTCTTTTGGTCAAAGATTCCAAAATAACTCACAAGGATTCCAAAGCAAAGAAGAAGGCATTTCAAATTTCAAGGATTGGCAAGAGGTCAACAACGGATAGATTGAGCATCAAGAACTCTAACGTCAACACAACCACCAATTTCTAGACCACAACCAAGACTACACTACTAATTCCAAACACCAACTTCCGAGCTAGCTAAACAGCACGGCAACAAGCAAAAACAAGCAAGCACACAAGGCACACGAGATGCAAAAATCGCGCCTAGGCGCCGATTAATCGGCGGCTAGGCGCTAGGCGCCATTGCGCCGCCGCGAGGAACGGCCTCCGCGGCCGGCCGCCTAGACCGCTTAACCGGCCGGTTCGGCGGTTTTTTTATTTTTTTATTTTTTTATTTTTTGAAAATGTCAGAAAAGTTTCGGAAGGCATAACTTTTGACTCGGTTGTCCGATTTGGACAAAATGCCGAAGGCGATTTGGTCCACTAATTTCTCAAAAAAATGCTTCTTTAGCTCTTAATTTTAGTTTTTTGTGTAATTAGATGGTTTAAACAATCTTTTGAACACTTTTACAACCACTTTCGTAAATAATTTCTAAGAAATAACTATAGAAACCTTATGTTTTATTACTAAATTTTAAAAATTTTAAATTTTAAATTTTATTTTTAATTAAAAAAAATAAAAAAAAATTAAAAAAAATTAAAAAATAAAAAATAAAAAATCGGCGCCTAGGCGCCGATTAATCGGCGCCTAGCGTGTTTTGCAACATTGCCACACAACAGACGAGGAAAACAAGGTACCTTCCACAAACAACTCAGGGTACCGCTCCCGCATAGATGACTCCAGCTCCCAAGTAGCTTCGTCAACCCCATGATGTGTCCACCAAACCTTCACCATCTTAACAGATTTCCTACGAGTGTCCCGAGTCTTGAAGTCCAAAACTCTGAGCGGCCTTTCTTCGTAAGACAAATCTTCATCTAACGGTATTACTTCTGGTGGTAAAACATGAGCCGGGTCGTGAACATATCTCTTGAGCTGCGATACGTGGAACACGTTATGCACCCTTTCCAACTCCATAGGCAACGCCAAACGGTAAGCCAAACTCCCAACCCTCTCCAGGATTTCATACGGGCCTATAAACCTAGGGCTCAACTTCCCTTTCTTTCCAAACCGTATTACTCCCCGGGTGGGAGATACTTTCAACCAAACCTTATCCCCAACGGAGAACTCCACTTGTCTTCTAGCCAAATCAGCATAAGACTTTTGTCGATTTTGAGCTGCTTTCATCCTTTCTTGGATCTGTTTAACTTTCCCGGATGTGTCAAGCAAATACTGAGGTCCCAGCACTATCGGATTGACAAGATCCTCCCAACAAAGCGGACTGCCACACTTCTGTCCATAGAGAGCTTCATAGGGTGCCATGCAAATGCTCGAATGATAACTGTTGTTGTAAGAAAACTCGATCAAATCCAAATGGTCCTCCCAACACTAGTACAAAAAAAGCTTTTAGAGTCACCCATAAAACACTTTCCGAGTCACCTATACAGGTGACTCGGATCTTGGAGACTGTGATTCTCCTCCGCTTTCCGAGTCACCCGTAAAGGGTGACTCGAAAAGCGGAAAATGATTTTTTTAAATATTTTAATATGGACTTTCCGAGGCACCTGCTCCGCTGCAGGTCCCTCGGATAGTCCTTTTTTATTATTTTATTAATTTGTTTCCGAGACACCCACTTACAAGTGGGTGCCTCGGAAAGTTACGATTTAAATATATATATATATATATATATATATATATATATATAAAAGCCATACACCTTGGGGTACACAATAGAGCCAAAAATTCTCGCTCAATTAAAACAACAAAATTTTGGTAGCATTAAACAACAGTAAGAAATATCTGAGTTAAGAAAATAATTAAGAATGATAGATTTTTGGATTCCCGATCTACAACCTTTGGTTATCCGATTTCCTATAATTTATAGCACACATCAACCTACTCCTAATGGATACTTCAGAGCATAGACAGATGCTCCAGCCTTCGACTTGGCTTGAGCTGATTTTGTTGATCGCTCCTTTGTTTTTTCATCTGACAGCAATAACTGCAGCAGAAAAATAAGTTACCAATACGCTCTTTACTGATGAAAGAATCGTAGAAAATCCCCATCTGCGGCCGTATAAAATCTATGGAGTTCTTCTTCATTGATTCTGCACAAACATTATTATGTCAAGTTCCACTGCAAGAGGAGAAGCCAATAATTCTGCAATATGCCATGATTAAAATGTGTGGAAAAGTTATTAATATTGTTCCGTGCTGAAAGGATTTCAATGGGAGAGCCTGTTCACACAATCAATACCAAGAAAGTGTCAACTAAATTAAGAATTTCCAAAAGCATTTGGATTGATCTAAAAATAACCTATCTGTCAAAGTAATTCCCTGATTTTCCAGCTCTTTATAAAGCCGAGGTAGCCAATTGCCAGGAAGCACACTTTGCTGAGGATCATCCTCAACCCTGCACCAAGAAAGGTAAAGTTGAATTCAGATGTTAATCTACCAAAGGAGGAGGAAAAAAATATTTTAGATGTAGTACATCAATCTCAATGTAAACATTATACAGTAATCAAAGATACAACTATACAAGTAGGATATGTGTGTGTGCGTGTGTTTTTTAAAAACATCTAAGGGGGTTGGGGATCAGTCCTGTGACCTATCGTAAAGTCACAGGTCTATGCCACTCAACCACAGTTGGGATTTCTGGACAAGGAGAGAGAACTTGAATATGTTTGTCGATCACTAAGTATCAATGGTTGCAGCAATGGCATACCAGTAGTAAATTAGTTGGGTACCTCAGAGTGGTGGTAGACTGTGTAGAGGATAACTCAAGCACAAATTCTGAAACATCATGAGGATACATATGCCCCTGATTAACTTCACTACTTTCTGTGGTGGAATCGTTGCGCTCTGGATTATCAGACAATGCTGTGGCAATAGATAGCACCAGAGGAAGATAACAGCAGAGCTAACATTTGCTAGAGCATGTAGAATTGAAAAAAATAATCAAACACTATTATAACCAATGGTGTAATGAAATCTAGCAGTAGCAATTCATGATATTGAAAGGAACAACACTAAAATTTCTGTTAAAGAATTCATTTAGAAAGTATGCACTATTCTGAACATGGGTAAAAAGACTATATCAAATCTTTGAGCTTGCACCATCCTGCATGCCTTTAACCAACATTCCAAAAGGATTCCACCTCTGGATCCATTTAAATGGGGGATAACCAATGTTGAAAAAATTGCTAGGCGCCCTCTAGGCGCCTGGGGACCACCTAGGGCGCCTAGAGCGCCTACGCGGGCGCCTAGGCCGCCTAGGAGGCCGGGCGCCTAGGCGCGAATTTTGCAACTGTAACACCCCAGATTTTCAAGACATTTAAAACTTATAATAAAGGTAGAATCTTATTAAATCCCAAGATATAAATACAAGCGTTCGGGGTGCTATGCCACACCTGGGCTAGAGAACCCAAGTGCACAGGCTAACTAACTAATATCCTCAAAGCGTAAATACGTAAACGTGGCACGCAGGCCAAAAGGAAAACTATCTACTTCTAAGTTCTAGCGCACTCCGGTGACTTAATCTTCTGTGCCTGAAAGCCAAATATATCTGTTCAGCGAGAGATGCTGGTAACCCACTCCAACGCGTTGAAATACAATACATATAGAGATATATATAGATATACGAAAACCATTTTGAGCATGAAGATATATCCTACGAACACTAGCTTTAAAACCGGGAACGACTCGACAGATAAGGCTAGACACAAGCACAGTTATAACGAGCATATGCAGTTCACAACAGATAAGGCAGATAAGGCAAAGCATAAACAATGATCATAACCCAACGTGAACAATCCCCAATATAAATCCCATAGTCACATCCCCCAAGACACTCATGATCACCACTCATCCATATCACAACACATAGCACACTTTGTTGGCACCACAGGACCAATCGCATGCCCATACATGAGGGTCAGCGCATATAGCTCTGACACGGCCCCGCAGCACCCTGCTCCGTATCGCAACACGGAGGGGTTGATCGCAACCGACCGATGAACCGCAGCTCATCATAGTGTTTGATCGCAACCAAACAGTGGACCGCAGCCCAAGAGAATGTCATCTGACCGCAGCCAGGAAAAAGGACGAACCGCAGCTCGTATAGAAACGTTTGATCGCAACCAAACGGTGGACCGCAGCCCAAGAGTATCAATCTGACCGCAGCCAGCTTCTGAACCGCAGCTCAGGATAACCAATCCGATCGCAACCGAATTGGGGTAACACACACATAACACATAGCAAGCACATGCAACCCACATTACACATTAGGAAGGGGGAGAAAACGTATAACAAAACCTATGCGTGATCCATCACTTACTAAGAATAGTCCTAAGGGGTTCATACTTCTTCCACCGAGGTCAACGGGATACCAATTCAACTAGCATGCAGTATAATAGACTCATAAACCTAGGAACGGTACCCGAAACATCAAACTAGACATAGGCACGATAAACGGAGTCCGTTGGGACACCACGGGGATCGAGGGAACATCAAACGGGGAAGCCGAACTCCCGAGTGGGGGAATTTTCCAGCGGGTAGCCGGTGGGTGGGGGCCACCCGCCGGCTGCCCGCCGGTTTTACTGTTCCGGGCAGCGGGTCGCCGGCGGGCAGCTGCCCGCCCGCCGGCTGCCCGCTGCCGGAAGTGAAATCTCGGCCGTGGGTAGGTGGCGAGTACCCTACACCCCACCTACCCCCCACTGACTCTTTTCACACCAAAAACGTCCCGGGAACCATTGTGGAACCCGAAACCATGCTTAGACAACGCAATTAACGACAACACGTAGACAAATAACGAATCAAATACAAGAAACGAACGGCACATAACCTATCATGCTTTTCTAAATGTAATCAATACCCAAACATGCGATTTCCCCACCCGATAATCCAAGAATAAGATCATACGATACGACCTAGGGTTCTAATCACTTTTATATCAACAAGTATACGGTTCGTATTCTAATTGCAAGATTCGGTAAGAATAACACATAAACATCAAAAGCATCACATAATTATCAAGAACAACACATAATCATCAAGAACTCCATATAATTACCAAGAACACCATAATTATCAAGAATCTCCCAATATCAAGATTATCAAGATTCCTCATGGAATCATTATATCAATCATTAATAATAATCATCACCAATCATTAATACACAATAATATGGGGAAACCCTAAGGCGGAATCATAACTATGAAAATAGGTTTTGTTGAGACATGGGTTACCTGTTTGCCTTAATTAATTCCTTGGCTATGAAGGGTCTTTCTTTAAGCTTTCTTGCTTTCTTGATTTCTTCTAAGGGGATTCTTGGAGCACTTTGGGGTGGTGGAACGTTTATTGTGGTGGGGGGTTCTAGGTGCCTCTTAAGTCCCCTATTTATATATTTAGGAGTCCTGGTTAGGAACTAATATTATAGGCTTGCTAATTCTATTCCTTTTGGAACTAAGGATTGGGTTTAGGGATAAGGGTCCATGGTCCATAGTGGACCATATTAATTAATTAAAGGGAATCCTAATCGTAGTCTGAATAGTAAAAGGCCTACTTCCTTTATTCCTAATAGATAACTAGGTCTAGGATTCCTAATTAGAATCTGAATAGTAAAGGGTTTACTTTCTTTATTCCTAATAGGTTTAGGACTCTAATTTATGCAAGGGTCCACGGTTCATGGTGGACCTTTATTAATTAATTAAAGGAAACCTAACCGAATTAAATCATATTTAATTATTATTAACGGGATTAATTTAATAATTAATCCGGGATTGAAGGCCGTAACACGGGGTGTTACACTCTCCCCCCCTTACGAGAAGCTTCGTCCCCGAAGCTTTTAAATCATTGCAGGGTTAACGAGTCAAGAGAAGAACCGTGGTCCTATAGAGAAGGTATTCCACGGGGAAATTGTATACTTGCACGCCTATGTGTGTTGGGTTTTTGGGAGCGACTAGGTTTTACAGGGTTAAGAGAGTGGGTTTCAAACTTGAGGACACGGTGAATTCAGGAATTAGGATCAAGTTTTCGAGGTTGCAACTTAGGTTGTGAGGTTGCCACTTGTATGGAATTGTTAAAACATGGGATTGAGAATGGGGTCTGAAGGGTAGAAAGGGTTTTGAAATAAGGAAGGGGCCGATTTTCCGAGGGAGGGAAAGGAATTCGGCTAGGATGGGTTAAGGTTTCTCGATCCCAAGTGAATAATCTGGTTAGATGCTTTGATCACGATGCGCCGATGAGCTGATGATCCTCCTTCCTTGGTGTTGGTGCTTGCTTGACTTTAAGATCCTTGTTAGACCTTGCTTCCCAGGGTAAGGTTTCATCCTTCTCTTCTTTCTTGAGGGAATTTCCCGTGGTGATTCAACACTTACTTCTTTAATGCGCCCAAGGTCTTGACCGAGTTGGGTCAACCAAGCCAATCTCTTAGGGCGCATTTCCCAAATTCTTCCCAAAGTCTCTTGGGAGTCGATGGATTTTGGGTTGAATTTCTCTTCCTATTGAATTTCATCTCCTCTTTAGTGGATGAAATTCTTAGTAAGACTTCATGTCTTACCCGAGGTTCGGCATTGTTGTGCCCTGTTTGTGTTATTTTTAATGATGAAGGTGTCCTTGCGTGCTCTTTTTCTTTTAAAGCGCAGTCGGTTACCAAATCTCGTTGTGGGATGACTCGGCGAATTTACGAGTCACCTCATCTCCTTGTAGGTCCTTAATGACCCTTGAAGTCTTGGTGCGAATGTGTTCTTCACCCTTTTGCTTAGCACCATGAGCTACGTAGTTCTTGATTCCATACAACTTGTAAAGAGTCCTCTGATTTGCTCGAACGATGTCCATGGTTTGGAGGAGTCCCGGTCCCACCTTAGCATTTTGACTTTTAAGGTTTTCGTGGGTTCTTAGTACGAGTTCCCAACTCGCCTCCTTGGTTTGCGCAATCCTTTACGCCAAACATCCCTAGTCGGTTGTATCGTAGGATCCGATTTCAATTACTCGTGCAATGTAATTGATTGTGATTTCCCGATGGTGTCTCGTGCGTCAAGGTCTTTTACGTAGGACACTATGTTTAGGTGGTCCATGGTTCCTTACCCAAGACTCACATTCCTCAATCGAGGCACACAAGTGCGCCACAAATCAATAAAATGAGGGGTTAAGAAATCAGCACATTGTACAAGTGGGCGCGAGGTGGGCGGTCGTCCGCCTGCCAAGCTCCTGCCAAGGTCCCGTCAAGGACCCGTTGGGGACTCGCGGGAAAGTGACTAGGAATAGTCAATTCCTTCGGGAAAGACCCCAAAAATGCACAGATTCATGTCCTGACAAGTCCCATGCCCTTGTGCACAATAAAAGGGACTTGGATACATAGGATGACCCATCGTACAATGTTCATTGATCCTTAAGCACGAGTTCTAGAGGTAGATATTCATATATATATATATATATCTATGTTTTCTTGGTCTGGGTTTAAAAGGGGTGTAAGGAGTGCAAGGGCTAGGTTTCAAAGTCGAGGGGCGGATAGGGTCGATGTCTCAAGGTCGTAATATTGGAAGGAAGAGTTGCCACCTTGTACGGGTTCGTCTGTAATGAGGGATCAAGAGCGAGGTTTGGAGTGATAGGACGGATTCTTTAACGAAATGGTACTTGATTGGCAAGGGGAGGGAAAGGGGCTAAGGACTCTTGGCTTTGAGTGATTATGCCTGTTTGGGGCTTGGTTGTGGCGTGCAGTCGAACTGGTGATCCCTTTTCCTTGGCTTTGTTTGATTCTAAGATTTTCGTTTGATCTTCTCTTCCCGTGTCGAAGTCCCCTTCGTTTCTA